CTTCTAGACAATCCTGAGCAATTATTTACCTAAAACATCATCTTTCCGAAAGGGACATTTAGAATGTGAATTTATAAATGATGTTTTTAGTTCTGACTGATCACTGTGTCTGATATTCACTGTTAACCTCACTTCTATAAGAAATATAACAAACGTCGCTCTCCCATGTTTAGAAAAATAAAGAAGCCTCTCAAAAAATTCTGCTAATATAGCACAGAGCTCACACATGCTCGTGCTCGCTTCTGTGGCAGTAATCTAGCTGCCAAACTTGCTGAGAGAGGGGGAAGGAAGGGAGCGGGGAGACTTCTTTGTTAATTCAAAATTGCTATGTGTGTTGAAGGACTAAAGGCAAGGCGGACACTGTATGTTTCAGTGTTCAGTCTTAAAAATTGCATATGATCATTATGGACAGGGAACCAGTTCTCAGTCACTTATACAATATCCTAAGTGCCACATGCTCATTTTAAATCAAAGAAATGCTTTATTTTACTTGAACAAAAAAAACTATTACTAGTTAACAGTAAAATACAATTTAGTTCCTTTTCCTTTCCTAGACAAATTCAGATTGCAGGTCAGACATTAGACTTGAGAAAAAAGCGGCATATACGTCCTCAAGGCCATTAGCCTGCAGCAGTAAAGTCACCTGAAAGGGATAGATCAGATAGTAAGTATTTTCATGTTTGGGGCAATATTGCTGTGTAAGTATATCGATGTAATTCTGCAGTAGCTTGGTTGCAGTTAGTGTATAGTCACTCTGGCGGACATGGAACAAGCCCAGAATTAGGCTCTTATTTTAGCTCTGCTTGTGTTTTGTAGCGGAAGCAAGAGTCTTCCTTTAGATATGTTAGTCTTGCATACAGTATGACAAATCCCATGTGTTTGGAAAACATTATATTAACTCAGGAGGTGCAACAGTTAACGGTAGGTATTGCAGTACCTATCGGTCCTGCTCTGTCTCTTCCTGTAGTCTGAACCAGTTCAGTAGTGGACTAATATCTCCTGTCACGGATAATTTCTCCCTCTGTCACCTAAATCTCTTAGCTGGGGCACTATGCATGAAGAGCACTTAAGGGTGGTACACTTCACCTGAGCACAGGTGTGACCATCCTCAGCCAGAACGCAGGAGCACTTTGTCGTAGGACAGACGTACGTCCGGGGTGAGCTGTTCCCAACTCGTGGCTGGCCCAGTATGCGTTTGCACTTGCATCGCACACCTGGTTGCACGGGCTGTGTGATTTCTGCTGCAGAATTCTGCATGTGGGGTAGGGACTAAGTAGGATTTCCCACCTCTCCTTACAGGCCCTCTGGTGCCTCTGTATGGTAGAAGAAACGTAATTAAAGAAGACAATCTTGTACTTGGAGTGGAAAGTGGTGATATTTATATTAGTTGTTTAGTTCTGATCTAAGCCAGTTTCATAGTCTGGAAAGGCTTTTTCTCTCTTTCTGCCCAAATTAATTTCATCCACTGGGTATAAGGAATAGAAATTAGGAGCCTGAAGTCATGCTGTGCTATCCAGAAATACAGGTATGATCCTCTTTATTTTTTTCCTCATCTTTCTTCCCCTCAACCTCTTTCACCCCATCTTTATTCTAGCATATTTTGACTAATGATTATGGTTGAAGAAATTTAAATCTGCTCATGGGTATTTCTCAAGCAGACTAAGTTTGTCAGCTAAATTATTCATTGTGAATTAGCTCCTTGGAGGCAAGGACTATACTTAGTGTGATGGTGACCGGACGGGACCTCTGGGCACTGCTGCAACAGTCAGATGTAGCGTTGACAACATTCACAGTTTCAAATGAGCACAAATGATAAAGTAAATTTCTCCAGCACACATTAGCTGTGTGGAGCTAAAAAGCACGACCTGCTCAGGGGAGGGGAGTTGGGTGCTGACAGAGAGCAAATGCCCAGTTACAAATAAAAAGTTGCAAGTGGTAAAATGTAGTGAAACTGCGTGTAACATTGGGGTGTAGGAGATTTATTAAAATACTGCCTTAGTGGGAAATAGCTGTGTCCAACCACTTCCCAAGCACGTTATTAATCAGGGTTAATTTCTTGTTCGTAAAGCAGACCGAGATTCTTGCAAGTCACCAGATGGCTTGGTGCTGTGTGTCACTGCCTGGTGTAGCTTTTGCCCTGCAGAACTGAAACCATGCTTGTTTGAATCCATGTTTTACTTTCTGCAAAACCTGGAAATGTTTCCAATAAAATGGTGTGCTGTTACATACGTATCAGTTGATAATACGTGGCAAGTTATTAGTCCAAATATGCTTGAATCATTTTTGAGAAGTGATTGGAATAGCGCATTTAAAAAAAAAAAGTATATTGAAGAAAATGTACTAACCTCATGTTTTCATCAGAGGCTTTATAAGGATTTTGGTTTTATTGGTGTAGTGTCCTTTCCTAATCTCAGCATTGTGGAGCTTACCAAACACGTTGCAGAAAAATCCTCTGATGCTCGTCCATGTGTATTTTGAGAAACAGCAGGCACTAAAGAGAAGACTTTAATGGATATGGACAGAAGAAAAGAGTTACTGAAATCCAGTGACTGTGTTAGAGAACTGAATCTGCAGTAGACATGGGCAAAACCCCTCTGAACCTCTGAACCCTCCAGCCTTTAGCGGAGCTTCTGAACCCTGCAAGCTTTAGTGAATTCAGTAAAGAGTAACACAGATCTGAGCTCACCATAATTTTTAGGCTGAGTTTTGTGATGCTGAAGTCCCTGCCAAGCTTTTGCCAATCCTGTCTAGGTTCTTCATCTCTACCCTGCATAACAAAACACATCCTCACACAGTATGCCGTGGTCTCCTATATACAATAAGAATGATGAGTGCAATTACCAGCTGGGAGTGAGGTGGAAAATCCTCAGCTTTTCCTCATTTCAGAAGCCTTCACGGGATCGAATCAGACACTTAGGGTATTTTAGAAACTCATGCCAGCTTCTTATGCACAGTGTTTTTTACACCTTGTTCAAGGTTACTTTGTGGGGTGTGAACACCCATTCTGGTGCACTGGGTATAGAGTAAATTGCCTGGCAGCGCTATTTTAGACATGAATGGAGAATATTTACTTCCATCCTTTACTCAGGCCAGACTTTTTCACAGGCATTATGGTTTCAGGGTGAGCTATGACCTGTTTTTCATTTTCTCCTGGCTGTTTCTTTCAAAAGATGGGTCTATCTCTGTGCTCCTTTCCGAATGAAATCCCACTGCTCATCCTCTTTTTAAATCAAATCAGCATTCCACCCCATCTCCTTTTTAGCACCTGAGATGCAATAATTTAAATGCTTTGGGAAGGAAAACCAGCCACTAAATTTAGTGGTAGAGAGAAATGCATTAGAGTAAGCATTAGTCCTACAAAATGCAGAACTCCCGAAGTCTGTTTTCCTATGGTTTTGTGCCTGTTTTTGAGCTCGGTCACGACTGAGCTCTGATTCATGCCGCAGCTTTTTTCTTGATGGGGGTGCAAAGTGCATCATTGCTGTCTGAACATTTTTATTGATAAACTGTGTTAGGAATACAGGGCCTTCGAGCCTGCTACGTCTCTGTCGGGCTTGGTTACACCAGCTGAAGGATTAAAAAGTTACTGAGTGGACTGCCAGACACAGGCACAGAAGTAGGATGCTTGCATACATTTGTTTCCCTGAAAATTCATGCAAAAAGCCTAATACATCTGATCCCTCCTGAACTGTACACTTTCAGTAGGCCCTGTTTGTCCCTGGCATCACTTTAAAACTAGAGGTAAGCTTACTTTACCTTCCCTCCATTGGTCTGACTGACATCAGCCGTCAGTCTATCTTTTATCTACATAGCCTTTGTCTGTCCTGGGGCCTTGAAACTGCTCCCAACTGTTTTCTCCATCTTCAGCAGGTACTTGGTTTTGGACTCACGGCAGCCTGCTCTCTGCTGCATTTTTTCTTTAAGAGTGAATGCATCGTGGTGGGACACGTGGGTCCATTCTTCCTGCCGCTGTGCCTGTTAGCTTTGGCTGGATTTTAAGCCCGCAGCTCACAAAACCCCCACAGCACAATAGCAGGCAAACAAACCAAGATATATTTTTCTGCAAAATAATTAAAGTCTTCCCCACTTTTAACACAGCAGGTAAGGAACCTATTTTCCACTTACGTGCACTGAGTGCGTCTCTCACAATTACAGCATCTCCGAATTACGGGCTGTCTTCTCTTGGTGCAAGTCCAGGAGTGCACCTTGCCCAAAGGCAAGATGGTAGCTTTTGCTCACTCTGAGTTTACTTGTAGATTGGGGAGCGCAAGAAAAAATGTGCTACTGGCGTGGCCAGCAGCTAAATGTCAAATTTGGCTCTAAGACAATACTACTTGAACTATTTCTCTAAGTAAGCGCTCCTTACACAAGGAGGGATTGAAGGATCAGACTCATAGCATTGTAAAATCACTCTCTTAGGAATTTTCAGAACTGCCTAGAACATTTTGAATCTAATTCTCCAAACCCTCAGGCAGCTTTGAATATCTCAGCTCTAATATATTGAAACAACAGACACTGATAAAAAAAAAAAAAATGAGAGGGTGATACTCGGTTATATCTAGGCAATTCCCGGCAGGGTTGACACAATAACTGCGGGCCGTGCTGCCGACTTCTGTCAGCGCTTCTGTGTCCATCGGGGTTGCACAGAGCGGTGACTCAGTGGGCACCCTTGTGCCCACAGAAGCCCAGCATATCTGCATCTGCCACAAAAACCGTGCTTTGCTGTTATAACGCATTTTTTTGGTGGCAGGTGTTACTGCTACATCAGCTGACAGCTCACCTTTCCCTGTCAAAACTGCCTCTGTGCTGGGACTGCTTTCTTCAGTGGGCTGCTGAGGTGCAAATCTCTCGGTACAGAGGCAGCCTCGGAGGCAGTGTAACTCAGAATTTCATTCTGATCTCTGCATTAGATGTATTTTTAAAGGTCTTTTATCTGGCTTGGTCAGATATATTTCCTTAGGAAAATTCTTATCATTTCCAAAGGTAGAGCGACTTGCTTTTTAACCGGTCTCTGCGTGCACAGAAAGACGATGTCCATCGGCGGTGGCGTTCCTGGGGGCGGCGAGGCCGAGGTGGCGGAGGCTGGAGCCTGTTGCCTCCCGCACCGTCAGCCTGGCTGGCCGCGCTGCCTCCCGGCCCACGCTCCACGAGATGGCAGTGCGTTCCTGCTCTTAAAAACAGCTTTAACTTTATTTTAACCTTCTTCTAAGTTAAGTATTTTATCAGGAGAATTTCTTCCGAACAAAGATTGTATTTTCCCTCAAAAAACTGAACAGGGAAGATTGTTTTTATTGTCTTTTTAAAAATATAGGAGCTGTAAAAAAGCTAGAGTAAACTTCAGGGTTTAAAGTGGCAACTTTAAGGGATCTTTGTCTTAGTGTGTCACCCAGTTCGCCACCTCAGGTCTCCCCACTGCAAATCTTGCAGTTGTGCGAGGGGACTGCTGCAGAAATTGCATGCAAGCATCAGAAGCTGGTCACCTGATTATATGCCAAATTCACCTTTTTGTAATTGTGATGAGTCGTTTCTTTTTTGAAGAAATGTTTTTCACCTAACATCTTTTCTTGTTTCTTTTTTTTTTTTTTTAATTCCGAGATCTCCAAGGGGTACAGTCAAGCCACTGATGGAGAGCAGGGAGGTGGGGGTGGTGGGGCGGGATAAAAGAGTGAATTTTTCTCTTGTGCTATCAGCTGAAGAACACCTTGGAATGTTTGCAATTAGATTATTGTATAAATATTGAATTACAAGACTATAAACACTAAAAAAAAAATAACTTTGTAAATACTTGTTTGTAAGAATCGTGCTTTTAATTCCTTCAGCTGAGAGCCTCTGAGGATAATACAGGAATAAATTTAGTGTAAGTAGGATAAACTACCTATGCCATCAGTTTTCTCCAGTAGTTAATATTACATTTAAACTGATAATGATGGAAATGATTTTTGAATAGCTTGCTATCTGAGATATTTATAATTTTAAAAATTACATTTTAATGTAATCTCTGCTGCCTTATACGAGCTTACATTATGCATGTTGTTATAACAAGAAAAATGAAAGAGGAGAAAAAACTCCTTGAAAACAATTTCTGTAAGGTCGACAGGTAGGTAAAAATCTTAATTTACATTGCAGACATTGCTTGGGACACAGAAGGGAATAAATACAATAAAGACAGCCTGTTCCAGTCCTTACAGTGCACCGTAGTATTGTCAAGAGCTGTGAAAGCTGCGACTCCTGCCCTTTTAGTCATTGGTGGTGTAGTTCTGTACACAACCGAGTAGGAAATGCTTCTTTATTTCCAAAATGAATTCCAGTCAGAGGTAGGCTAAAAGCACCATTCATTTAGATTAAAGATCCTCAAACTATCATGTTTGCAACCATTTGTCACAGTTTAAGTAGCAGTGCATAAATGTCGTGCTGTTGGTATACAATTTAATCTCTGCTGACAACAGCTCCATTTCTAAAGTTTCCTCAGCATCTTTTTTTAATGGTTTACATTTCTTATAAACAACCTCCGCTGCTTATGCAGAAGTGGGACGGCTCTGTAGGTTACCAGGCCTGAATCTCCTCCACATGGGGAAAAAATGGTAAAGCATCAAGGGCAGTGCATGTGGGAGCACCAGTCAAATGGCGTTTGCATCTGATGGCATGTGCATCTAGCCAAATGCGTGGGTTTCCATTCTGCAGGAACATTTGATGGTTTTTGTTGTTTCGGGTCAGAACAAATTGGGTAGGTTTTGTTTTGGTGACTCTTCTGGTCTTCACCTCGTCCTTGCTCCCTCTCCTGTTACTTCCACTGTCCGAACCGGGGGAAAAAGAACTCATATGACAAGAGTTTGTTTTTTCTCCATGATCTTTGGAATTATTCTGTTAAAAAATATGAGCAATGATTATGATTTTATCAAACACAGATGCTTAACTTCTAGTGGATGTCACTCTTACTGTACTGTTGGCAGAATGTTTATAGCTATAGGCCTTTACTTGCATTAAAGCATTGGCCCAGAGAGAATAGGTTATAAATCCTAGTGTCTCTTTCCAGTGATAATGTCCTTTATAGTCCTCCTTGCTTTGTCTTCTGATTCTATCTGTGCTTGAGACTATGCCCAACCTGGAGCAGGTGGAGGAAAAAACGGTGAATTACGTGCCGTTAAGAAACTTTGCCGAGCTGTTTCATTGCAACTAGTCGGAGTTTTAAGGAAATTTGTCTCAAATAGAGAAAATAAAGGTGTTGCGACACGGAAGACTACACTGATAGTCAGAAACATAAGTTGCAGAAGCCTCATTGCTTCATACTACCAAACAGAGATCTAAAAAGATGGTTACAGTCTAAGCGCATTTTTCCTAACCTAAAGTGAGAAGAGGGTACGTCTGAAGTCAGGATATCCTGAAGGAACTGGAGGTCTGTTTTAGTGGGATACTTTTGATACAGCTGAACACGGCTCCTGAAGATCAGGGTTAATGTGCTTCTTACAAAGTTACTGATGAGAATGGTTTGTAGCACTGCTTCAGAAAAACTTTCCAGTTGGTGCTGCCAGGCTTTTCTAGATATCATCCACAGCTTTTAAAATACCCGCAATTGTTCTTGGTAGAAAAGAAAGCAGATATGCTTGAGTAACCATTATACCCACAGTAGAAAAGTTTCGAGCGTATGGAAACAGAATCCGTCCCAGCTGACACATGTAAGCCGTGTCAGTGCTAAAAAACATTATAGCCTCCTGAGTCTGCAGGAAAGGTGCCATCTCTTGAGCAAAGATCAGTTTAGCTGAAAGATGCTGGGAATAAGTAATGGCATTGGGTTTAGATAAAGGAACAGGACTGATAGAAAGTACAGGTTGAGAGTGGAGTTTGATGGTAGGAACTAGGAACCGGGCAGCAAGAAAGAACAAAGAGACCAGGGGTTATTATATGCAAATACCTTATCCAAAATGCTATGAAGTTTAATTTCCAGGAGCAAATATGATATGAAAGTCTTGATAATGGAAAGCCAGTGCTACTTCTGAATTCAGCTTGCAGCCTTCTAAAATACGCTTCATGGAAGATAGCTGTCCATCTTGTCGGATTATAAGAAGTCTGTGCTTTACACTGGTGGTTTCCATCCTTTCTGGCTCATTTGGCTATTCAGTTTACTTTGCAGCACTGGTTTTCACGGTATTGCGATGCTTTTACTGCACCGTCTCTGCCGCATGACCATAAATGTCTCAACACCCGTTGCATACACAGTGTTTCTCTGTTCTCCCTTCTCCATTTTCATCGTGGATCTTCTTTCCCTGGCACCAAAGTAAGTCCTCTTTGCCCTTTGCCTTTGTGCAGCTGACAGCCACGCTGGCCCATTTCTCCACCCCAGCCTTCTGGGCAAGCTCTCACCACCTCCTCCTCAGCCCCGTCAGTGCTGGGCCAAGTCCTCTTCTACCTCGCACAATGTGCAAACGTGTCTTGTGATCCCCTTCGCCTCTCTGATCCCCTTTGCCAGTCAGCCATCCTTTCCCCACGCCTGAGCGGGGCTAGCACCCTACTTCACAGGTCGTTTCATGTGGAGGAGAAGTCATCGAGAGAAGAGACAGATCCTGGCGGCAGGGAAAAGGCTAGACTAAATGTTTAATGGACCGTTTTTTGTCCAAAGGGAACCTCTGGACCAAATACATTGAGAACCCCTGTTCTCTACTTTCTCATACAATGCTGATACAGTAACCCTGTCTTAGCTCTTTTTTTTTTCCCCCTGCTCTTCTTTAACCACTGCCAGGTTGTAGTCACAGTGATTTTACATGGTATTTTAACTGACATACATACTTTTTTCCCAGTTATCTTTTCCTCCTGTGAATGAAGTCAAGATCCTAGAATCCTTTCTCCGTAAAGGGTTTGGGAGTGAGTGAGAAGAGCTGAAATTTTGAACACGCAGTAAACAGATTGTGAATTTCAAGCAAATCTTGTTTTCCCTTCAAAAACCTACCCTTTTTTAAATTTGAAACTTTTATTTCTTCAAGGTCACTTCAGATTTAATTTACCAATATGATATATGCGAAGAGTTAATTTAATAAGCTAATACGGCATTTTTTAAAATTGCCTAACAAATATATTGTAAGTATGATCACATCTCTCTGAAATGAAAATCAAGACCACTCAATGTCCTTTTGTCAAACTGATTGTATCTAATTAAAAAAGAAAGAAATCCCAGCAATGCAGCTTTTCTTCCCATTAACATGCACTGCACAGGTTACTACCTAATTTAATACAGGATGTTGCCTTGCATTTCTCCATCCCTGATGAAACCGCTCTGTTTAGTTGAAGCTAAGGGAAATTCTGAGTTAGAAAAAGAAACAGCAAACCCCCCCAAATACACAATGATATATAATTTGACCATTTATTTCCTTTTCTTAATAAGTGTATCCAACTATGGAAGCAGGTGTACTAGCCCTTGGCCTCATACCACTGCTAGCTTGACACTCTGATTTCTTGGTAAATAGATAAACATGCCTATAAGATTAAGTGACAAATTCACATCAGCACCCAAAGCTCTTGAATCAATACCGCTAATCCATTAAAGATTACAACAAAGAATCTTAAGTTTCTGTCCCTTCATTCTGGTATTAAATGTGAACTGAAAAATAACGGACTAAAATCTTTCTAAAATTAAATGAAATGAGAAAATTACCCTTTGCACATTTTAAAGATAAAGAACCCTGGACATCTGCTGGCCTGGACAGACTGCCTTTGAAAGCAATTTAAGTATAACAAAGTAATTTTCAAATTGACAAAGGAACGGCAGCTGTATAAAATGAAAATGTAACCGGGGCAGCCCCAGAGCCAGATCCAAAATCCCATCTATCTCCTGAATCTGACAACAGTTAATTTGACCAAATGGCAACTGCACCTGAAGGAGGGGGGGCAACAGCTGAATTAAAGCCAAGGCAAAGGCCTCTTGAGAACTTAGTGTGGGATTCAAAGTTCATTGAAGTTGGTGGGAATTTTTCTACTGACTTCAGTTGCCTAAATCTGGCCTTCGTTGCTTTGAATAAATGAGAGTTTGTGATTCAGTGTATCGTCTTTCCCTGTGGACAGAGCCCCCGTGAGAAGCTCCGTCAGAGTGACTGAATTACAAGCTGACAGGACTTTGCTGTAATGTATTTAAAGTTATTTACATGCATGACAGTATGCTTGGAGAGTCAGGTTCTGC